TGAACACTCTATTTGTAGAATACACTAACATAAATTATATATATATATATATATATATATATATATATATATATATATATATATATATATATATATATATATATATATATATATATATATATATATATATATATATATATATATATATATCCAGTACAAAGTTATTAAGCTATTTGAAATCAAAACAAATTGAGTCAAAAGTACATCATTATATTTTTTTAATCTTAAACTCAACTGTTGACCAATAGAAGATTCGAATGAATTTGCAATTAGAATGGGTAACAGTGAATTTGCAAAAAAGTTTTAGAGATTTATTTAAATATGTTTAAGATGATTTAGAGAACAAAACCTGGGCAATACATTTTATTTCCGAGTTTTGAAAAAAAATAAAAAGTACAAACGAATGTAAATCATTTACTGTTATAAGTTATGTCAGCCTATTTGTTTAGCCAATAAATATTTTGAAGCATTTTAGATTGGTTGCAGCGTAACAAAATTGTTATTGAATAATTCAAATTTTCTAAAATTTTATTTTCGTTACAAAATTTAGTGAATAAAAATGTTTTTATAATTATGATTTTACCATGATTCAATCAGAACTACTCATTTATTTCTAACTGCTTACTAAATAAGTTTTGGTTTTTTGAGGCTTCACCTCGGTGAATGCAGTTTAAAAAAAGAAAACATTTCAATATATATATATATATATATATATATATATATATATATATATATATTATATATATATATATATATATATATATATATATATATATATATATATATATATATATATATATATATATATATATATATATATATATATATATATATATATATATATATATATATATATATATATATATATATATATATATATATATATATATATATATATATATTGGTGGAAAGTTACCAAAACGTGTTATGCATTTATTTCAGAGAAAATTTTTGTATTTCTTTGTTAATATTTTTGTTTGTTTTTTTATCTCTAATGACTTGTCTCTCCTAGTTTTGTTTGTAATAATAGGGATTAATGTTACCCCTAACTCTTGTTGTACCTAACTCATTTCCCTTCTCTTCCTTAAGTCCTCTCCCCTACGACACTAAACCTCAATCCGCCACTGCCAATTTGTACATCATAATGTATATAAATTGTAAAGTATGTTATAAAAAGTAAGCTCACATTTGCTTCTAAAAACCTATTGTCGAAAATCTGTCACTAATTAATTTTAATACTTTTTGTCTTCAACTATTTTGATACTTTCTCCCAATACTTACTTACTACCAGCGATCTAGACTATCTGAAAAAATCAGATGGATATTTAAAGAATAAGTCATTTGACTTTTCAGAAATATGATTCATTTAAATATATGATAAATGATATATCTTTGGCTCCTTTTTTCAAAATACAAATAATCGATGGACAACCCTAAAATAAACTAAGTGCATACAGTCCAAAACGAATCTGGAAATGCAAAGTGAATCAATCAAAAGACTTTTAAATACTTATTTTTTTTTAAAACTCATCTTAGCAAATAGTGTAATTGCTAAAATGAATTATTAAGATTATAAATTAAAAAACATTGGCCTGATTGAAAACAACTAAAGCTGTGCATTGCTAGATTTAAAAGAAGACAGACCATATACATTTACTATTAAATATTTGTCATTCTTAACACTAATGATATATTATATAAACTAGATGTCTAACTTGCAGGATATTTTTGGACAAAACAATATGGTATTCACATGATTAGGTGATTTTAGTAACATTTGTTTCCTATGTCAATATTACCGCATTAGTAAAGGCAAGTCATTAGAGATAAAAAAATAGGGTTCGCACTGTCGGCGCAGATCTGCGCAGATATGCGCAGACATTGTAATTTGTCTGCGCAGCCGTCGGCGCCGACAAAACTTATTATTACTGCTAAAATATACTAAGGTTCGTCTCTCGGTGCAGATCTGAGCAGATATTTTTATTACTGACGATTTATTGAAATCAAGAAAAAAAGTTTTAAACTTAAAAAATGTTTTAAGTAATCTTTTAACTTTATTATAAATTCAGTGATTAGTAACAATAGGAGTTTTCAAAGATTCATACAGTAATAAAAATATATAATGCTGGCGCCTATTCGAAGATTTCTTGACATTCAATTTCATTGAGAATTGCACCTTCTTCAAGAATGTAATCAGTCTTTTCATTTGTGTCCACCAGCACGCTATTGGTATACAAGAATACTAGCTTTTCAACTCTCTCATTCGTAAGACGATTTCTTAGTTGCGAGTGAATAAATCGAAAGGTCGACTAAGCTCTTACTGCTGTAGCCGATGAGCAGATCATTTCGTTAATAGGCTTAGGAATTTCATAAAGAGCAGGATATTTATCGCGACCGATAATGTTCCAATAATTTTGCGAGTTCATCTTGAATATTGTTTCCTTTCTTCTCTCAGGCAGCACAGAAATTTCTCCTATATAAGCAATCAATTCATCCTCAGCAGCAGTGGCAGCAGTTTCAGGTTTGATCTTTTTGGCGAATTCAACTGTAGCAGTGATAAAATCGGTTTTATCTTCATTCAAATATAAACCTTCTGCGGCATTTTCGGGCGTTAATATGAAAGCAATTCCAATACATGGTGTAAAAAGAAAATCGAGGCGAGATTGCACTTTTTGTTGTATGTCTTTATCGTCCATATATGAATGGTACATTTGACCGAAGTAATCATACACGAGAGACAATGGAGTTGTATCACTTTCTAGCTTTCCGATCACGTTGGAAAGAAATTCAATTCTTTTGACAAGCTTAGAGAGACGGTCCCAAAATGGGTTAGATTTTATCAACGCCATAACAGCAGCAGATGTATTCTTTGGTTGAATTTCCTTCAGTAATGGACTTTCTTCGTCTACCAACTTAATAAGAACGTATTTTGATAGCTGGAGACTGCTCATTGATTTATAATAACTAAACCATCGTGTAGATACAGGCATGGACAATGAAAGAGAAATATTTGCTGCAGTTCGTCTTTCATCAAACTTTGCTTTCACGATGTGATGATTTTTCACATATTTGATGATTTTCTCTGGATCTTTGACTGTTTTTGTAGCCTCAATTGAAGAACTATAGTTCCTCTATAACTATCTCCTATCTCCATATCCTCTAGGAACTATAGTTCCACATCTCGGCTAGCGGATGCGGAGCTCATGGAGTCAACTTGCTTGTGAAGGACATATATGTCCTTCACAAGCAAGTTGACTTCATGAGCTCCGCATCCGCTAGCCGAGATGTGTGGATATTTCTCCTCGATGATCCTCCACGCTGATTTCATTACAAGAGCGTTGTCGCTTATGAAACTGGTAAATTTTTGTGAGCCAATCTTCTCAATAACTTGCAAGATTGCTGCAGCAACTGCAGATGAATCTTCAATGATTCCGGATGTATTTATCGAGGTGTAAAAAAAAGGCTTCTGCTCGGGCGCTTTAATACAAAAATTCACTATGTGATCGTCTCTTATGTTCGTCCAGCCGTCAGACATCAGTGTTAAGTTTGTTTCATAATTCAAAATTTCATTTACATAAATAGAACATTTTGTGTATTGTTTGTCGAGCAGAGATCCTGATAAGGCTTTAGCTTTCGGGATGACAGATGCGTACGATGGATTGAGCGACTTCACAAAATTCCTAAAGACCTCCGAAATGATATACCTGTACGGTAAAAGAAATTTGCAGGCTTTGTGTCGATATCATTTTTGAGCTCTTCATTAATTGGTGGATGTACACGCTGCATCGGTGAATCAGACGTAGACGGAAGTTGCTGAGAGTCATTGATCAGATGTGACAATTCAAAATTACGCTTAGAAAACAATCTTTTTTCCTCGACACTGGCGTTTTGACATGTTGCGCTGCAAGGCGTTCCTTCGACCATTGAAGAGTTTTGTTACATGCTAAACAAGTGCCAGAACGCTTCCCTCGATCAAGATTTGTCAAATAATTCGAAATTTTGATGTTTTCCATTTTAAACATTTGTTATGACGAAAATACGCGATTTCTTTATTTTAAATCACTTTAAATTGTAGTAAGTAACTTTAAAAAGTTTATATCGATTGATTATATGTAGCTCGAACAAAAAAGAAACAGACAAGTAATGAAAAACTCGTAAAAAGTAGATAATTAACTACTTTTTACGAGTTTTTCAAAATGTCTGAAATTGTTTTATTAAATATTGTCTGAAATTAAATTTTAAAAAATAATTAATTTCAGGCATTTGATTCAGATAATTAAATTATCTGAATCAAATGCCTGAAGAAATTTTTTTATCATAATTTAAATTTTTCGTATCCTTTAAACTGTCTAAGACGTCGTAACGTAACTGACTAAGACGTCGGCGCCGACGTCTGCGCAGATATGCGCAGATGCATTTGCCGAACCCGTTAAAAAAACAAATAAAAATATAAATAAAGAAATACAAAAACTTTCTCTGAAATAAGTGCTTAATATGTTTTGGTAACTTTTCACCAACACATGAGAGCTAACCTAAATATATATATATATATATATATATATATATATATATATATATATATATATATATATATATATATATATATCCCAGACAGCAAGCTTACATTGGACCAATGTTGGGCCAATGCATGGTGATGCATTGGGCCAACGTTGAAAGTCGATGTTGGCCCAATGCAGGTTTGATCATTGGTTAGGTATTGGCCCAATGTTGTGTACAACATTGGCCCAATGTTGTATACAACGTTTACCCAACATTGGCACAACGTTGTATATAACGTTAGGCCAATGTTGTATACAACATTGGCCCAACGTTTTATACAACATTGGCCCAACGTTGTATACAAAATTGGCCCAATATCGTATGTTATACGATTATTATTTTTATATTGGCCTAACGTTTTATGCAACATTAGATCGTTGTTACAAATAAGATGATTTGCATCGCTTCATTGAAAAATTATAGAGAAAAAAAAGAATGTATTATACAAGTATAAATATTTATTTATTAAACATAATTTCTCGGTTAAATATACATATTGCAAACACGAAACTAATACCAAAAACTGACACATGGAGTTTTAAATAAAAAAATTCACTATAAAATTTATAGAGTAGTTTCGATATTGACTGAGCTACTTGTTATTGAATCGTGTTTAGCTTATGATATTTGGTGCCCACGATTATTATTTTTCTTCCGCTATCTCTATCACATGTCTGCATAAACCATGCTTAATTGACTTCAAAGTTTCTGCAAAAAAAATAGTTGTTTGTTTAATTATGCACCAAAGAAACATAACAAGTTGAAAGTAATTCTGTAATACAAAATTGAAACTGAAAAAATAAACTTTTCTAAAGCACTTACCAAAAGCAGCATATGCAATCAACATTTTTCCTATTCCAATTTTTTATCCTCTCCCTGCATAATTTAATTTTACAGCTAGGCCATTTTAATAAACTATTCCTAGTAAATAACACATACAATCTCCTTCGCCTTTAACTCCAATTTGTGCCAAATAATTAACTCGCAAAAATACACAGCCTGGCAGTAATTAAAGTAACTTTAGTTTAGACTTAAATTAATATAAAATGTCATTTACAAAAAATCTTCAAAAAGTATTTTATTTAAAGTATATAAATTGTACTACATATCATACTAAATGCATAAACAGATCATAAAAAAATATTTACCATTAACTGAAGTGTTTTCTTGTCTTTTTTCTTCCAGAGTACTTGAATTCTTCACTGCTTTTAATGGCAATGACACTCTTTCAGGCAATACAATAATTAGCATACCTTTGATACTCAAATTTTTATAACTGAATTTGATGTATTTAGTAGTTCACCAAGTTGCACTTCAATGCTTGCCCATTGTGCCAATAATACCAGCATATCTTTCAAGGATACAACTTTATCTTGAAACAATAAAGTTAATTATATTATTAAGAAACTATACAACTAATTATATATTATATTTAGAATTTATAAAAGTAAATACAACAATCACTAACAAAACAGATAAAATTAAAGACAAAGGGCCAAACTTTTAATGATCAAAATATATACTTGCTAATGGATTCATAATATTTTTATGAATTATGAAATTTGCAGGTGTGCATTCAATTTCTGGGACTGACACAAAACAATTCTTATTAATGTTTGAGATACACATTGCAATGTAAAACATAAAAACTCATATTAAAACAATGTTTCTCCAACAGGGTTTGTAGCCAACTATTTATATAAAATTAAATGACTTTTTTGAAAAATCAGATGAATTTCCCTGACGATTTTTAACAATGGTTTTTACAAAATGTTTAAAATTACTATCTACTGTAATGGATATGCTAAGAATATACATGCTTTGAATGACAAAACTTATAAAACTTAGCTATTACTTAAGTTAGCTATTAGTATAGATCTTATTTTACATGTTAGTATGGTTCTTATTATAAAGGATGATTAAGAATGAATACTAAGAAAAACATGTTTCAGAAAAAATAAATTAATAGCACCAAAAAAAAAACATAATAGCTTAATTGAGCGCTGTATTTTGAAAATGTGACAAGTCACAAAATTAAAATTAAGTAAAAAACATTTTTCCTAAAAAAAATTTTGTTTTTATTTTAACTAAAAATTATTATTTTTATCAAAAAAAAAATCTTTATTTTATCTAAAAAATCTTTTTTTTATCTTATAATTTTATCTTTTACTAAAAAAAATATTCTTTTCAAATAACCTCAATTTTAAAAATTGTGACTCTTCATGTTTTCAAAATACAGCGTTAAATTGCAAAATGAGTAACTTCTTAACTAGAATTACTGACTTTTCCATGACTATCTAAAAAAAAAAAAAATAATTCCTTGACTTTTCTAGGTTTTCCACCACTTTGGCCAATATTAACATATTTTCCAGATTTTCCAGGTACAGTACAGACCTTGTCCAATGTTTGAATATAATTTTTTTTTTACATATTTTAGTTCTGAATTTTAATAATACAATTTAAAAAATAATATCATCTATAAAAATATCGTATTACTTTTGTCTATTAGATAAATTTAAATAAACGTTTATATAATAAATAATAATAAACCACCAGCAATTGTTAAAACTTTAAACTGATATGAATACTCTGTTATTTTTTTCGGCAGTTGATTTGAAATAGATTTTAAAGTTAGTGGCACCAACTTTGAAATCCAACAAAAATTTTTTGTTACATTCATAAACTTAAAACAACTAAAAAACCTGGCCAGTTTTTTGTAACTAAATATAATTTCGGCGGTCAGTAATTGAGAGCGATCGTTCCTGCTTTCTGACCAAGCCTGTGGTGTAAACTTTGATATGTTGATTATTACACAATAAAATGTTAATCAACACTCTGACTTTTTGACTGTAATATATGAAAAAGTCTTTAAAATTGTAAAAGTTAAACCTATGAATAAAGATTTTCAATCATCAGACATAAAGAATTTTATATAAAAACTTACCATTTAATAAATTTTGTTCATTTAACTTCTCAGAGCAAACATTGAACTTCTGTAAAAAGTTTGTAGTTACAGGTAAATCCTAAAGTTTAATAATATTTTTAGTTTTATTATAAGAAATTGAGGATAAATCATCTACACCAAGATATACACAATTTTTTGTCTCTTTAATCTTTATTTTGGCTGGTTATTTTCGCTATCTTCCTTTTTTTGTCTCCAGAGCAGAAGTTTAGCCTTCTGCTAAATTCAATCTTGTATTGTTATAAAAATCTATAAATCAAATTATTAATAACTAAGTTATAACGAAAGTTAATGTATAAGCTTAAAGTTGTTAACTGCATTACGCAAACTAATTATGAAAAATATCCAGAGATATTAAATTAAAAATTATAAAACCAAGAATAATGTCCCTCTGCCTCAGAAAGATGGAATATATAAAGGGTTGTTTCAATTTAAATCATGATTTAAATCAGATTTAAATTGAGTCTTTTTATTTTAATTGACTTTAATGATTATTTATCGATTTAATCTCATAATTCAATAAATTATTTTAGACTAGTCATTGGTCTTAAAACAAAATGTCTGGCAATATTAGAAAGCTCTACATAAGTAGAATATAAATTCTAATAACATCACTTTTTGTACACTGTTTTAATATTTTAGTAGATGGGGTTTCACAATCAAACAAAAAATACATACTTAAAATGTAAAATATCAGCTTCTAACAACTTCAATGCCACATATATATTACTGATACCTTTAATAATATATCTTATAATAGCTATATAATCTAAACTATTATAAATAAATTATGAAAAATTTTTTTTTTTTAATACTTACACTGTATGACATTTCAAATATTTAATAAAGAAGAATTTAAAATGTCTTCTTTATTAAATAAATCGAACATTTGAAATGTTACATTTATTTAATAAAGATTATTAAATAAATCAAACATTTGAAATGCTAATACAGCAATAAGTATAAAAAATAACTTTAAGATCTTACACAAAAATAATTTAATTATTACCTTTATTATTACATTAATAATTTACATTGTAGTAAAAAATGTTTCAAGTATATTATTTAACTGTTAACAAATATTTCATTATTAAAAAAAAAAAAACAATAAGTCACGAGAATCTCTTGAAATTTATTTCATATAACGAACCTTTTCAGATTCTTAGAAGATTCATAAATATAGCTTCTTTTTTTTTTTTATATATATAAGTTAAAAAAATGGAAAGATAATATCAAAACCTTTTTTTATTCTGTCAAACGATACCATTTTTAAAAATGTTTTAAAATTATTTACTAATCCGCAACTACATTGGCCGAATATTGGCTACGGCTTAAATGTAAGAACAGATTTTTATAGCAAAATATTAAGCCTAAACTACATTGGCCATATGTTGGCCCAACGTAGTACGATAATTACAAAAAACCGATTTGTTGAATTACAATATTACGCCGAAGAAAAAACATTGGCTAAATGTTGGCCCAATATAGTACGATATTTGCAAAAAACCGATTTGCAGAATTGAAAATAATACGTCGAAAAAAAACATTGGCCCAACGGAACAAACTTGCCAATGTTAAAACTTACGTTGGGCCAATGTAAGCTTGCTGTCTGGGATATATATATATATATATATTTTTTTTTTTTTCTTTTTTTTTTCTTTTTTTGTTAAGTAAAAATCGATTTTTGAATTATCTTTTATTTATTTTTTTAAATACTATTTTTGAGTATTTAATTGATAAAATTTTTTTACTTTATTTTAGGATTAAGGTTTAAGGGGAATAAGGTTGTGAATTATTATGGTCCAACATTCATAACATACAGTTTACATTACCTGATTCATTTGTTAAAATTTTTTGAATGACCGTTTCTTGTAAGTTTTGCTTTTCCATTTACAAATTATTGAGTCTAAAATTATTGTTTTTTTTAATCAAGATGTTCAATTGGTAAAGCATTTAACTGAAATGTAAGTAGTTCGGATTGGAAGAGAAACACCTAAAAAAGTAATTGCTAGTATTAAAGATAGCTATTTATTTAAACGATTTTTTTTTTCTTAACTTTATGAAATTGTACTATTTCAGTTTCTTTATTGTACAATGCAATTCATGTTATAAGAAAATATATTGTCTTTGCCAAAATAACCCTTAGAAAAAAATAACTTTACAGAATTCTGAACTCAAACGCAAAGATAAATCTTTCAAGGTAAAAGTATAAATATTTTTTTCTATTATATCATGATTGTGTGTTTTAAATAAGTTTTGTTTATTTATTCAATTAAAAATGTTTTGGGTAGCAGTTTTATTAGTTTTGCAGTTTATCGAGGGATTATTTTTTCTATTTGGGATGATGTTGCTAAACGATTTGCAGTCAATAATCTTTCGAAAGCAGAAAAACTCAGACAAGCATCAAGTAGAAAGTTAGTCTGATTTCTGGTATTTGTAGTATATCTATTTGTTAATTCCGAATGTTTTTTTATTTCGTTTTTAAAAATGCTTCTAATCGGATTTGTTTGTTACAATATATTTCCGTAAATTTTTTAATTGGATTTGTTTGTAACAATATATTTTCATATATATTTTTTAATTGGATTTGTTTGTAACAATATATTTACATATATATTTTTTAAATGGATTTGTTTGTAACAATATATTTTCATATATATTTTTTAATTAGATTTGTTTGTAATAATAAGGATTAATGTTACCCCTAATTCTTGTTGTCCCTAACTCATTTCCCTTCCCTTCCTTAAGTCCTCTCCCCTACGACACTAAATCTCAATCCGCCACTGCCAATTTGTACATCATAATGTATATAAATTGTAAAGTATGTTAGTTATAAAAGGTAAGCTCGCATTTGTTTCTAAAAACCTATTGTCGAAAATTTGTCACTATAAAAACGCTTTCTAAAATTATACTTGTGTGTTTACCACACAAGCCTTTGTTATAATTGTTATTAAATTGCGTTAAAGAAAACAGTTTTTTTAAAAAAGGGGGCTTTCTCTGGAATAAAGCAACGAAAAAATTCTGATAAAAGCTAGAGATATGGCAAGTAGTAGAACAAAAATTATTTTTTTTTTCTCCAAAATACATATTTATAGAATCGTGCATGTAGTAAAATCGTCATCCTCTTTAAAACGTTTAGTAAAAAAAGTGCTTTTTCCTAAAAAATAGAATTGTTTTTAGAACAAAATATAAATATGAACAACTTATTCAAAGTAAAAAAAACTTTTATTACTTTGAATAAATTCTTTAAGTTGTTCATATTTATATTTTAAAAATTTTTTATTTCTCATTTTGCATTATCTTAATGAAATTTAAGTATTGTTTTTTTAGATTATTTAGATTAATAAACAATAAACTAAAAATTTGGAATTAATTTCAAGAGTTATTTTGTAGAAAAGCATAATAAAAACATTCATCCTATTCCAACACTCCCCCCCATCCTGCATTGATCCGTCAACAAAAATGGATAATGTTCTAATTAATTTTTTAATTTTTGTTAAATAGTTTAGATTAATAAAGTGACTTTGTCTTCAACTGTTTCGATACTTTCTCCCAATACTGGCATCATAATCATTTCCTTTTAAGCTGAGAAAGCCGAATATGTTTCATTTCGAATAGATTTTTTAAAAAATTATAAAGGCTTGAAACGTTGAAGTATTATAAAAGCTTTTGGCCCAGTAAGTACACTGTATCATTTCGGGTAATAATATTTTGTTATTTCAGTAGCAATAGGGTTTCTGCAATTTATGACAGCAGTGCAATTGCCTGGTTTTGCTGCTTAAATACATTTTTGAACAAAAAGCAACGCAGCATAGACCAACGACATATTTCTGACTAGATGATATAATTGATATCTTCTACAATTGGTTCAGAAACGGTATAATGGCTTGCGACCAGCTTAATTTTTTATTAGCAGAGTTGAAAACATTGCTGATCCGGTAATTTATCAAGGAAGGGTATTACTAGATTTATATTTAAGCAGTTATCGTGGTCTTTAGCAGCAATTTTCTTAACGAGAATCTCCCAGTTATTAGCAGAATCCGGAATACTTTCTCCCTTGTGCCATTCAGAGCATTCTTTTTCTGAAAAAATGAGAAATACAGTCTCTGTTGCGCTCATTTGCGTGGACAATGACTTCTTGTATTAGCGGATATATTACTGCGCTTCACTCTTTTCTTAATAACATTGTATTTCATGAGCACGTTATTGTAACGCATTATTGCACTGTCTTGTAAATTATTGCAACTGAAGATAAATATATACATAAAACTGTTTTGTTAATAATAACAAAATAGTCCCCATTCTATGTTTACTTAATGCGCAGATACACATATGTACGCAATGTTTTGATTTACGAGCCCACATATCAGATGTAAAGGCAAAAAACTGCATCTTCTCTGATTTCAGTTTCAGAGACTTAACAGCCTAGTCGTATATTTTCTTTATCAGTATTGTAATATTTGAACGAGTTTTAATAACATAGCCTGCATCTGTGTTGTTTTAACAAAACATAGTGGGCGTACATTGTAAGCATCAAGACGAAGTCAGATATTTTCTGGTCGTGCATTACGTTAAAGTATCCTCTATTCTGATACATTACTAGTTTTCTTTCTTTTTTTATTTAAGGCGGAGAAGCTGTAAAAAAAAGACGATATGCCTAGTGTGTTCAAACTGCCGGTGCCATCATTGACTTTATATGATGTGTTCTAGTAACATGATGATAGAGTGTGCTTGTGTTAATACAGATTGATCGCAGTCAAAATTGCTTCACAGAGTTTGCAGGTAACGTTAATCTTATCGATTTTGTCTAGTTATTTTTCAATGTTAATAATACTTTTTTATTACAACCATCTTAAGGAATATGTATAAAAAAGACACAACAGCAACTAACTTTTACAAAACATGTATTTGTTATAAATTAATTACTGCAATTTTTTGTCATATTTTAATTGCTTAAAATAATCTTTTTACGCGCACTTTTTGAAAAAATTTATTGATTTTTAAAATATATTTTTTAAAAAAATGTTTTTCAGTGAAGCTGAAAGTATTTTATGCATAATTCTTTGCTTAACTGAAACTTGAATGTTTAGCAAAGAACTTCAAAGAATAATACTTTCCATCTGCCAGGAAGGATTGCCAGTTTTTTTTTTTTTTTTATCAAGCCAAAATTAAATAAACAATAAATAAGCCAGAACAAAAAAAAAAAAAGCAAACAAAAAAAACAAAGGCTAAAAATTTATTTGCTTAAGATTTAATCTCTCCTTAAATAAAATTAAAAAAATGTTAAAAAACTTTTTAGACACATCAATATGTACTTTTTAGACACATAACAAAGTGACGCAAACACATGAAGATATAAGTTACGCCAACACATAAAGATATAAAGTGCTATCTTGAAACACTTTGCTTATTGAAAAGAT